CTTCTTGCAATTGCTGGTATTAAAAAGTGGTCTTTGCACCAATTGGATGTTCAAAATACAGTTTTGCATGGTGATTTACATGAATGGGTATTCATGAAAATACCACTGGGTTTTTCATGCAAAGGAGAGCACTGAATTTGCGGTTTGAATAAATCCCTTTATGAACTTAAACAGGCTTATAGACAATGGTTTGTCAAATTTTCAGATGCATTACTAGCAGCATGATATGTTCAATCAAAGGTAGATTCTTATTTATTCACCAACATTAGTGGTAATTCATGCACATAGGTCTTGGTTTATGTAGATGACATTGTGATCACCGACAAATGATATTAAATCCATTAATAGTATCAACTCAATGATCGATTTCATATCAAGGATTTAGGTCCTTTGACATATTTTCTTGGAATTGAGGTTCTTCATTATAACAAATAAATTATTCTCATACAAAGGAAATACAATCTTGAGATCCTTCAAGACATGAGTCTTTTGGCTGCAAAATCTGTGGCTTTCCCTATGGAACAAAATTTAAAATTGAATGTCAAAGATATACCTCTTTTAGATGATCCCACGCGTTATCGACAGTTGATTGGCAGGCTTATATATCTCACAATCACAAGGCCAGTTATTGTATTCCCTGTCCACATCCTCAGTCAATTCATGAATCAACCTCGAAAATTACACCTAGATATTGTTGCTCGAATTATTTGTTACTTAAAAGGGACACTTGGCTAAGGAATTTTACTCTCTGCTAATAATAGTCTACAACTCTATGCCTATTGTGCCTCTGATTGAGCTATTTGCTCAATGACCCGACGCTCGACTACTGGCTACTACACTATGCTAAGAGACATCCCCATATATTGGAAAACTAAAAAACAACATACCATTTCACGATCATCTGCAGAAGCGGAGTATCATTCTATGGCAGTAACTAACATGGGTAAAATACCTCTTATTAGATCTTGACATTTCTCATAATGGCCCAATGATGCTTTATTGTGACAACAAATCCGCCATACACATTGTTGCAAATCCAGTTTTTCATGAGCGCACGAAACATATTGAATTTGATTGTCATCTAGTTCGTGAAAAAATTCAACAAGGTCTCATTTGTACTCTCACGTCCCAACTAGTTCTCAACGAGTCGAACTATTTACAAAAGCTTTTGGAAAAGAACAATTCAGTTTCTCGCAGGCAAGATGAGCGTACTCAATGTTTACGTTCGAACTTGAGGGGGGTGTTGGGAGTTACCAAAACTTTCGAATTGAAATTCAAATATTGAATTTCAAATTTTGAATTTCTGTACACTTTCTAATTTTGTAGGATTTTGTACTGGTGTATACTTTCTAATTTTTTAGGATTTTGTGTTGATGTACACTTTCTATTTTTGTTAAAAGGATCCCTACAATCAAGGGATTGCAACCTCTTGTATTCTCTACATATACCTACGTTTGGGTAATACAATCTATTCAAAATTGTTCCCTTCAAATTGCTAAAAAACTTGAAAAAAAAATTAAAAAAAATAATAGAGTTGATTTTGATTTTTAAAATGGTTAGATTTAGCCGCCTATGAAGTGGATGGCACACACTTATTGTTGGAATAAGTGGGTCAAACAATTGGGAGATTAAATGCATGTTTAAGTACTAATAGTCACTTTCTTAGGACAATATTTGCTCTTATTGATAAAAACCGATGTGCGGAGAGGTTGTTGAGGCAAAATTTTCCTTGGGATACAAAGAAACAAAAGATCTAACAATTTTCTCGCCTATTCAAATGCACATTACTAACACTACAGTTTCAAAGTACACTACTTTAAAATAACACCTAGTATTTTTCTAATGTAAAAATAAAAGAATTACCAAGTGCAAAAAAAACTACTCTCCAATTTTCTTGAAAAACTTTAATGGATACTTCACTAGGGACAAGAGGATGTATTTGTCGAGTTCAAGATGAATTAAATGACCTAAAGTTCCCCAAATGGGGGAAGGTGGACCAAGTTAGTTGTCTGCCTGAGGGCAAACAAAATATTTTCCCTTAGGAAGCATCTACAAAATGCCTATAGGTGAAGTTCTACAATACTTCACCTACACCTTTTCACCGTATAAAGTTCATCATACAATCATAATTGTTTGGTAGTATTTGAATTTTTATAATTACTTTATTGATCATATTTATCTAAAATTTGGGGTTGTGTGTACAAATGACTAAGTCACACCAAAATAAAATTTTTAAAAATAATAGTCATAAAATAACATGATGAAATTACCTTTGAAACTTTATGGGGGTATTTTGTATAATTTTTATCATTCAAATTATTTGTTTTATATTTTATTCATGTGCATCTCATTAAAGCGCACACACTTACAAAATTTCAGATCATTATGAATTATAAAAAATATATTAAAATTCAAACACTATCAGACATCTGTGATCGTATGATAAACTTTGAACAGTGATAAAGTTGTAATTGAAATACTGTAGAACTTCACTAATAGGCATTTTGTAGTGTTTTCCTTTTTTTTAATATATTGTTTGATATCATTTTTTGTCATATGGTGTTATTTTTCAAATTGATAAAATGGTAATTTGGCCAATTGTCATTTGCTTTTTAAAGTGTTTGATTACTTCATTCTCAATTTGAATTTGTTATTCTATCGTGTGATGGTGATCGTGACAGTTTGAAGGTGTTGGTACGGTTTTGGCGGTGGTGGTAGTTAATGGTTGAGAGAGAGATATGGCTTACCCATTTTTATTGAAATGGTTAGTCTGTTTTTAAAATATGAGTAGTAATGGAAATCACAACGTGAAATTAAAATACATGGAATGCTATCACTACAACCCCAACCCCTTTACAAAATTTTAGAAAGTTTATTGATATTCTATTATTTATTAGTAGTAAATATTTCATTTGTAGTAGGTATTTCATTTCCTAACTGTGAGATGAAAAATTTAATGGACAGTAGAGTGGCAGAATAGTGTTGAGGTGGTAGTTATGTTACAGTGGGCAACTCCATCCTACTGCCCTTTTTCCATCTAGGCAGTGATGGAGTGAACCCCAAGAATGAAACTTCAGTGTTTTAAAATTCGACGATTTTGATTGAAATTGCATAAATATGGTTGAGTCTAATGGTTAGGTGATTCAATTTTATGCCCCTAGGTATTGCCCTATTCCCACCCTTATATATTTTTATTTGATTTTATTAATATTATACTTAATGCTAACCAATCTGGATCGTCCATCCACCCAATCTGGAGTGGTATATTCGGTGGCCAGTTCAACCATCTTTTTATACATCGGTAAAACTGAAAGTAACCGCTGCATATGGTTCCATTTAGTGAACATCTATGCTCTTCTGGAAACCAATTGTATGATCAATTATTTTGGCAGTGAAACTAATCTAGGAGTATTTATAGACTTCAAAATAGTATTCTCAATTTTATAATAATTACAAGGAAAAAGTTTATATTAGGTCGACACTTTTAATTGTATAGTTAAGGCATGTCTCGAACCTCCATCGGAAAAAAGCTACTTTGACATTGGAAAAGCATCTTAATTAACCATCTCGACATCGAGAGGTATGGATACAAAACAAAAAGATTTAGAGTCCAAAAAAAAAAAGATTTAAGTCTCAAAAATAGATATGCTTGAATTGAACTATTTTTAAAATTTAAAATTTATAATTAGAAATGAAAATAGATTATTGGGCTATACTAAAAATTTTCGACATCAAAGCTAATTTATTGGGGGCAAATCTACCAAACAAAAATATTCTTACATAACTTTTTTGTTTTTATTAAAAGCATCAATAGGTTTGGCGCTTTCAATATCGAACAATTTTTTTAAAAAAACCTACTACAACATAGTTTGGAACTAATGGGCACTTTGGAAAAAATAGACAAAAAAAATAGAAAGTCTGTAAGTTTTAAGATTTTTAGGATACTTTTTTAAAAGGTGAGATTTGTATAAGGTTGCAACTTTAAGCGGTGCACCTCCAAACTTTATCATAACATGTAATTTAGGTGTCGAAAATTTGTAGCATGACCAATAAATTTATTTTTGTTCTTCGATTATAAAACTTTAAATTTTAAAATTCATTCAAATCAAGCATATCTATAAATACATAAAAATCTAAAAAAATGTATGGTCTAGATAATATGTTGTACTATATTTGGGATCTTAAATCCTCTCACTCTCTTTCTTATTTAAATATTCACTTAGATTGTTTTTCATCGTCAAAATAGCCTTTTACCCATGGGTTTCGAAGCGCACTTTGATTCTACAATTTAAGGTGTCAACCCTATCTAAACCTTTTTCCTTTTTAAATGTATAAAGAATTTTTTTGCCTAAATTTTGAATAGAGAAATTTATCAAAATACTTATAAGAGATACAATGTTTAATATTTTATATCATTGCAACTCTCTTAACTCATGATCATGAGTTTTTCATGAATATTGTAAAATAAAATCAAATAATAGGAGTAAAATATTAAAGGAGAAAGTTTATATAGAGCCGAGGCTCTAAACAATCAAATTAGAGCCACCTAAAAAATTTCACTAGAAAAAGTTGTTTTGATGTTTAAATATCTTCAAATTGATCATTTAAATATGAGAAAAAATATAGATTTCAAGTTTTGGAATAGTGCATCTTGTAACACATTTTTAGACAGTCAATTTTCATGATTTTTAAGTTTTTATGGATATGATTGATCTACACTATTTTTGAAGCATTAAGATGTAAATATATTTTAAAACTATCACAAAAATTTTTGATATTGAAACCATATTTTTTGATACTATTTGAAAGTGCGCTCTAGTTTGATTGTTTGGAGCCTAGGCTCTATTTGAACCGCAAATATTAAACGTCTCACATGTCATGGATATTTTGATAAATTTTTTTTTTTTCATTGGATGTGTTTTTTTTGTGATTCTATTTCCTTAATTTTTCTACTCCCGAAAAAAATCACTTTCCCTTGTGTATAAAAACGACACTTTCCCTTGACAATAAAACCCTAGTACTAAAACCCTGCGTTCTTGAAGTTTAGGTGTGGGAACCCTAATTTTGTCGAGGTAGATTGGAGGATCTGCAATATCTGAGTTTCTGGTTTATCAATGGCGAAAAAGCGAAAGACTGCCTCCAAGCCTGAACCAGTAGTTAAACAGGAAGAACCCATCTTTGAAGAAGAGGTGGAGCCAAAACCAGAGACGAAAGAAGCAGAAGAATCGGGTTCAGAGTCTGAGTCATCTGATTCTGAATCTGAAGAATCAGAAGAGTCTGATTCAGAATCAGAGGAGAAAGAAGAATCATCTGAATCGGAAGAGGAAGAAAAGAAAGGGAAGAAGATTGATAGAGAGAAGGTGAAGAAGCTCCTTGAGCCCTTTGGGAAAGACCAATTGGTTGACATCTTGAGAGAAATCTCAGTGAAGAATCCATCTTTCATCTCCAAGATCAACAAAGCGGCAGAGCACGACCCCTCTCATCGAAAGATCTTTGTTCATGGCCTTGGTTGGGATGCCACGAATGAAGCTCTAATTTCGATTTTCAAAAAGTTTGGAACCATTGAAGATTGCAAAGTGGTCTCTGACAAGCTCACTGGTCGAGCAAAAGGCTATGGATTCATCCTCTTCAAACACAGGTCTGGAGCTCGAAAAGCCCTAAAACAACCACAGAAAAAGATAGGTAATCGACTAACTTCATGCCAGTTAGCTTCTGCTGGTCCAGTTCCAACGCAACATCCAGGTCCTGATTTAACAGGCAAAAAAATCTATGTGAGCAATGTAGCATCTGATATAACCCCACAAAAACTCTATGCTTTTTTCTCAAGATTTGGTGAAATAGAGGAAGGGCCATTGGGATTAGACAAAGTCACTGGAAAACCGCGCGGGTTTGCCATTTTTGTTTACAAATCACCTGAAAGTGTGAAGAAGGTATTGGAAGAGCCATTCAAGAATTTTGAGGGCCATAATTTGCATTGCCAAAAGGCAGTAGAAGGGATGAAATTAATCAAAGCGGGGCCCAATATGGCGCTGAATTCCGGTGTGGGGCCCTCTCTCAATGCCCTTTTGGCAGCGGGCCAGGGTCCGGGCATGCGGATCCCACCTGTTCTGAATCCAAGTGGGGTTGGGGTTTCACCTGTGGTTAACCCAAGTGGGATAACTGGGGTCTCCCCTTCTTTGAACCAGGGGGTTTCAGGGGTTAATTTGGCAAATGCTGGTTCATTTGGTTCTTCAGGTTTGAGTGGTTATGGAGCTCAACACCAGCAAGGACTTAGTGGGATCAATAGTGTGAACCCCAGTGTTGTTGGGAATTATGGGTCTCAGGCTGCTCTTCAAGGGTTGGGTGCTTATCAGAACCCACAAGTGGGTGCTCAGGCCTCGGCTGTCAGGTCTCAGGGTATGGGGCCATTGGGTGGATTGACTTCGTATCCTGGTTATTAGGTGAGATAATGGATTTTATGGATTACTCCTACTACTATTGATATTGTTATTGTCAACTTGTTACTATTAGTCAATGTGATTGTTCCGTTTATTGTTCTTGTTGTTGTTTCAATATTGCTATTGACATCATTACTGTTGTTTTTGCTCCTATTGTTACCATGAGTGCAATATTTTTTATATGCTGGTTGTTAGGCAATATTTTTATGTTTTATTTAATTAGTCCTTTGGTCAGGTGTGCTGTTTTTTGCGTTATATTGAAGTGCGTCAAGTTGTCAGTGTCGTATACTACCCAGAATCTATTGTAGTGATGTTTACTCTAATCTTTGTATTGCTGCCTTGGGTTTTTGAAGAATGCCAGTTCGAATAGTTCCTAGGTCATTTTTTGTATCTTTATGTGTTTTGACTTGAAAGCAAGTTGATTACGATCTTATACTACCAGAATGTGTGTTTGCATATGTTTATGGATCATTTTGTGCGATATACCTTAATGAAGAGCTTGGAGTTGTCAGTGTCCAGAGCCTGAGTCAGAGGCCAACTTGGCAGAGTCTCTATAAAAAAAAGATACATAAAAATCAGTATTAAAGTCAGAATTCGCCCTGAGTATCCTTGATAATATCAAGAAAACCTGAAGCTTTTTGCCATGTTGTGAAGTATCTAAACGATTTCGGTCCAGGTGGGGGGCAGTATCAGATAGCAAAACCAATGGTGAGCAATGGTTAGAGTTACCTTTAGGTAAAAGTTGCACCTTCAAATCAGAGAGAGAGAAAATCCAGTCAAAGTTAGTAAGAGCTCGATCCAGACAGTTTCAAATTTTTTTGAATCTTAATCTCTACATATTTGATTTTGTGGTTTTTTGTTTTTGCTTTTTGACAATTCCCTAGTTAATGGCCACCTGTAGACCATTCTGTTTTTATGGTTGTGGTTATGCATTAGTCTTTAAAAATTGACGAACTGACTCGAAATCTTGGACGGTCCCATGGAGGGAATTACTAGAATTGTCCATAACCGGGCAGTTGTCACTACAGCAAATCACCATGTTTCGTGCGGATCACTTTAGGGTTTGGGCAATTCCTAAGTTTGGTTCTTATCATGGCCCTCCGATCTTATTTTGTCTCAATTTTTTTGTGACTTTTGGGTTATAGAGTTCCCATTGTGCATGTGTATAAGCAATGCTAAAAAGTGGATTATACAACTCTCAGATTTTTAAATCACCCATGCACACATGCTTATATATTTATGTATGCACACATCGACATGTAAAGCGTTCCCTAGGATAGTCATATACATTTTGTACATAGATCAAGCTGCTTCCAAGCCGCTTCCTGAACAACGCTTCCATGTGCTCCCAATGTAGGGAGCATCATCCATCAATCGTCTCAGGCTACCACCTCCATCCATGCTACTATGGGCTGAAATCATGGGAAACATTTTGTTCCCTTGACGGACATGATTTCCTCTCAACTTATGTGGAGTGAGGGTAGGGAAGAAGTAGGTAAGAGGTGTTGGGGCTGACAACTTTTGTTTGGAGACTCTCTCCTGTTAATATATACAGTTTTTCCTTTCTTCTCTCATGTTTCCTTTTCTATTTTTAGTCTCCCTCAGAAACTTCTGATGCATCTATTATTGTCACACAGACACCTTAGATTTTCCTTCATATCACGTATGGAGGTCTGACATGTGAGATTGTGATCCACAATTGCTTTCCATTTTAGGGTGTTGACATGACATGTTGGCACAACTATACTTAACACAATTGAAAAAAAAGGAAAGAAAAAAAAGACATGTGGTCACAATGAATGTGCCAACTACTTCAGTGCCACACATACTTAACCATATAAAATAGGTAAATTACCAAAAATATACCTTAATATTTGGATTATTGGAAATAAACCCCAATCTTTTCAAAACCTCATCCATACCCCTTTTTTGGGTGTGTAGACGAAAATAGCCTTCACGGTAGTCTTAGAACTGTGAAGGCATCACGATCTATTCTAAACCGTGATGGTCATGGCGGGTTGTAAGTCAAATGTAGTTTTGAAGTATCACATCGCCTAAAGAACCGTGATGGTTTATTGGACTTTCACGGTTCTAATTTAACCGCCACGGGGCATAAGAACCCGTAATGACCATCACTGCTTTTTAAGTTCCGTGATGCCTCTTAACGACCATCATGGCTTTTAAGTGTCATGATGCCTCAAACCATTAAACCGCCCATGACCATCACAGTAGTGAGTCTACTGTGATGTCTTCATGGTTCTAAGACTATTGTGAAGGCTATTTTGGTCAAAAGAATTGAAAAGTGAAGAACAGGGGTATGGATGAGGTTTTGGAAAGTTTGGGGTTTATTTTCAATAAAGGTATAATTTTGATAATTTCCCTATAAAATATCAATGTCACTTGTGGTCTGTGAATCCGGAACCTCTTTGATAGTAAACACTATCATTGACTCGTGCATTATAATTGTCGTTTATATATCAAAGTATTGTAATTCAGCAACTTAAAAACATGAATCAGTGGTGACTTGGTGAAAAAGAAATGGAATGAAAATTTTCATCTCCTTTTTCTTTTTTTGAATGTGCTAACTGTTCTATTGAGTAAGGAGTGTAGAACGAGTTTTAAAAAAATAGGCCTCCCATAGATTGGGACCCTCTACAAAAAATAAGCATCTCGAAGAGCGGGAGCTCTATACAAAAACTTAAAGGCTACCCATGAAGAGGTGGCCTATTAAAGAAATCACCGAGAAGGCAAGTACAAGAGAAAAAGATAAAAAGGTGTAGGCCTCTCCACCATGATAGATCAGAACAACAGAGGAAGGGTGCAACAAAACTCATGCTGTGGTGTTGAGTGCTCCTCCTTTAGCATGGGAGTTGGCCCCGCACCATGTATGCCTCCATGAGATGACCATAGGCCTGCAAATATAAGCAATCTCGTTAACAATATGAGCAGGAGTCCGGGGGACTAGGACAGGAGCCCGATGCCCAGCGAATAACATTCTTGGTGTCATCCCCAACGATTAAAATTGGGCTTCACGGTGGATTGAAGATTTTGAGACCCTCAAGAATTAAAATTGGGCTCCACAAGGGCTAAAGCCTCAGCCGATTGAGAATTTCAAATCATTGTTGGTAGCCTTAAAAGAATTTTTAGATTTTTCTTGCCTGAGAATAATTCGTGTCTTCACAAATTTTAAACTTTTCAAAAAAGAAATGTTTTTTTTTTTGTAGATTTACTCTAATATGTTTTTTGTGAATATTTTGTATCTTTATTTACCTCTACATACATGAAGTTTCTATAAGAGCACGTATATTGACGTGTGGTGCAATACTCGCTCTTTTGCCTAAAGTATTCGACACCTAAGATCCATAGTAATAGACATGGATATTTGTGCCTTAGCTGATGCGTATACCGGTATATGAAAGTGAACCCTAAAACTGACCTTCAGACATATCCGTCCATTGTATGAGGGTTTCAAGTTAGATGAAGTACTTCTGTAATCATATTTCAACAAAAATGGTTAAGCAAAAGTACCTAAATCTTTGAAGTGTTAGACATGCATGTTGTGCTCCCGGTGTGTCAAATGTGCCATGAGCCAAGGACACATGTGCCCAAGTTACATTGCATAAGTTATGCAGGTACATAGCATAAGTTATGCACTAGACACCCACACGCTTGTTGGTATCTGTGTAAGATTGATTTCTCCTTGTCTATATCCCTAGAGGCCCCAATATGCAACCAGATTTGTTACTCAATGAATTGTTGCACTATCTAGAAAGGCTATGTTGTGTAGGAAAGCAAGAAGATTGATGCGCATCCTTTTCTTCTACCATTTTCTTTGGGTACTGATGGAAATCTGTTATGCTTGTCTATAAAGGAGGGGAAACAGTGGGGGTGGGGTGGGATTTCTATTAGTTGATCCATGTCCCTGTGTTAAATGCTTGGTCATTCGAGCCCTTTACCCTTTTGTAGGTAAGTAGCACAGAATATGAGGCAAAGAGATTGAATAAAGAGATAAGGACACGGTTTCTATGCGGCCAGCCCGTATATTGTAGAAATGTGGGCTTGGCAATAAATATATATTTTTTAATATAATTTAATCCTAAATTTTAGAAAATATATAATCTTTAACATGGAGATCATAAATATGAAAAAAAATAAAATTGAAATCTAGAAATAGTAATTATATTAAGTAAACATTTGGACCGTTAGTTACAAATGTTTTTAGATGGACTAAGCTTTAAAACTCTGGACCACATACTGTAGAAATGCGGTCCAGCCTGCATGAAACAATTTTCCAAGGGATAATGGGCTGTGTCAAATTTTAATACAGATGAGGATTTGAGTGCTGGCTTGATTGGACACAGTGTTGATGGTCAAAACCAGGGTTTGAAAACTCGGCGAGTCAAACCTAACTCGCCCGGTTCGACTCAGGAATCGGCAGACCCCGTGCCGGTTCCACTACAATATCGGGAATCGCCCGTGTCTAGAGAGAACCGGGCGATTCCCAATAGTGAATCGTCGAGTCTCAACCGTGACTCGTCCAAGATCACGGGCTGTACAGTGTTCTTCACAAATTTCATGGTTTTTTGTCATTTTCTTATCATTTTTCATCTTTTTGAGGATTATAATCAAATCTTGCAGGCTTTATTTTAAATTTTTCAGCATTTCAGTCAATAAAAGGTAGTAAAAATCATCGATTTTGATCAAAAAAATTTGGATATGTGAAGAACCCTAAAAAAATTTTAGGGTTCCGTCATTTCTTTGATTTCAAGCAAAAGAGGGCATCATTTTTTGTAAAATCTGAGGGTTATTGATCGTAAGAGTGTTGTTTAGAAGTTTTTGTTCATAATTTGCGTGTATTTTGGATGAATACATATCAAATTTGAATTTGAAGCCACGGGTGCACGAAAAACAGGTAAGAACTGCGTTTTTTTTTTTCTTTTTTCCGCCATTCTATCAAATTCACTCAATATTTTACAAATAATATGTTAAATTTATAGGCTTTT